CACCTGCTCCCCATCCATCTACTCCCCCATTCACCTGCTCCCCATCCATCTACTCCCCATTCACTGCTCACCCATTACCTGTTAACTCATCCACCTGTTCCCCCACCCACCTGCTTCCCCATCTACCATTTAACTCATCCCTACTCACCCATTCACCGCTAACCCAGTTCTGCCCTCCTTGCCTCTGTAGCCAACTACAATCCTGACTCTCCTGCAGCCTGGTCTCTTCAGCATGGCCAGCTCTGAGTTCATTCAGTACACTACTCACCTGTAATCCTTTTAACACACTCATTCATAAACAGCATAGAGAAGCATTTTTGTGTGATAGAAGAGTTAATACTAATAAAAGACTGAGACAAAAGAACCCTTCCTCAGCCAGATCGCCAAAGGTTACCTGCCATATTGCTGTCCCTTGCGAACTTATCATCACTCAATAACTCTGATGCTGTAGAAGGATACAAACATGTACATCTGTGTTTCTGGCATAGCACATCCAAAATAATCTATAAGGTCAATTTTGTCAACAAGAATGATAACAAATTCAGGTTCGAGATTTCTAGAAGGCAGCTGAAAATAGAACACTCTGGCACAAGAGAGATGGCAACCCTGTTAATAATTAACAAGGAAACAGATGATCCAGGGAGAACTGGAGGGAACAGGACAGCTGAGGACACAGCCTGTGGGCGCTGAAGAATGCCAACACATAGAGCTTGAGACTTAGCTCATTTTGGGAGAGTGCTTGCCTACCACGTACGAAGCCCCGTGTTCTATCCCCAGTGCTGCATAAACTAGGCCCTGAGATCAATCAAGTTCTAGGTCAGCTTAAGCTACATAGTAAGTCTGAAGGGCAGTTTGGGGTTAGTGGGGTCCAGGCTAAAAGAAAATCAGAAAAGACAAGGGGGTGAGGAAGAGAATGCTAACGTGTGGAGAGTAGGGAAGCCGGGGGATACAGACTGAAAGGGAGGTAGGACAAGCAAAAGTGGCAGTGGTCTTTTCTGACTCCAGCCTCAGCAAAGAGAGGAATTCTTCTAGGATGAGACGCCGAATGTCAATCAGTCTAGGAGGAAATTAAAGGTTTACAAAGATGTGGGAGCGTACAGAAGCTCACATCTGAATTCCCCTTGCTCTCAATTCCTGCCGCTGACACCCATTATACATTATGACATGATTCTTATGGATAACCACCAAGAGTTCCTGATTAGGAATTAACAAGAATAGAAGTGGCACCTGGAAGATAGATACCCAAGGTTCAGGAAGAATCAGAAAAAGAAACTAAGCTGGGTGGTGGTGGCACATGCCTTTAACACCAGCACTTAGTTCCAGGACAGCCAGGGCTACACAAAGAAACCCTGTCTCAAAAAACAAAAAAAAAGAAAGAAAGAAAAAAAGAAAAAGTAAAAGGAAAGGAACTAAATTTTGCTAACAAATAATGTACAAATTGAGAACATACATTAAGATGTGAAAATTGTACTAAAAATAAACTTGACTTTGATAGGTCCTTGCTAGTGAGTCTTATTTTTTTTTTAATGGGAATTGAGAGCTTGAGAGACCTTTTGTAGAATGAGTATTAGAGAAGTAATAACAAATCATTAATCTAATGAAGACAGAGCTGGGGCCGTGGTAATAGGACTGGAGGGCAGGAAAGCCAGAAAGCAGAGAGACAAAGACAAAGTGATGAGAACCTAAAGTAATGATGGGCAGTGAATAATCCTTGGCAAGACTCTACCACGTTTTTCAAACCTTGTGTTTTTAGTTTCTTCTGTCTTAGCTTCTGGTCATCTGGTCTGAAGAGTTGCCAAGACAAAAATCTAGGTCATGATTCCCCGGTAGTGGCCCACAGCAACCTAATCTAGACTGGCACCTGCATGCCTCCCACTCTTGCCCCACGCTTCTCCACTCGCATGTGGCTGCCTCCTGTGTCCCTGCCACTTATCTGCGTGCTCTTGCAGTCACGTACTTCTTAAAAGTATCATTTTATTCACAGATCACCACCAGTGGAATCCTGGCTGAGGTCAACAACTTGGGGAGTTGAACCCAGTTCTACTAATGAGTCTTAGGCGTGTCTGTCATTCAGGGGTTTCTGGCCCGAACTTTCCAATCTCGGACATTCTGAGGAACCAAGGAGTGCTATGGACACTGTGGATTCACACACACAGGGACCCTTGAAGCCGGTGCACTAAGATCACCTGTCGAGCTCGTCACATAGACAGGTCGTGGGCTCAGGGATTTGGTCTTTATTAGTTGCTGCAGATGGTTCTGACACCAGTAGGCCCCATTGCTCTGTCATATTCAGAGACACAAAGTTTCAGATATCCCTGAATCTCAAAAACCTTTGAACTCTCATCCTAGCCTAAAATTCTGCTGTCTTTATTAATCAAAAGTTAAAAGAAGAAAAAAGTGAACTTCCAGGCGTTAGGGCAGAACCCCCTGGTGTCACTGGCAAACCAGAGAAGTCTGAGTTTTCACCTGAGTGGAGAAACTGGTACTGAGGACCTTTGTTTCAAGAAGAACAAAATAAGGGATAGTCACAGCTTATTACCAAATGTTTACAAAATAAAAATCAACCTAGAATCTACATCTTTGTCTAGAAATGCCAGTTTAATTAAAGCACGAATGTCTGTGGGCTGAAACTTCTATGTCCCTTCCAAATTGCCATAATATTAAATTCAAGATACCACACAGAGATACAAAAATGTATTACTCATATATTCCAAATATCTTAGAATATTTGCCCCCCAAAAGTGGGGTATTGGAAACTATATAATAATAACTTAAATGACTATGTACTCTAATCTGATATTTATGTGTGCTATCACACAGAAGTATCTCTCTGGTAGCACAGAAGCAAAGGGGATAGGTAAGTTAATTTTAGATTTATTAAGCTCCGTGGCACTTTGCATAACAGCACTTCATTCTCTGTGAAGGAACAGACACCCCGAGGACTCCGTTGCAGCTCGGTCTGAGCCCAGCTGGCCTCGCGGCCCCGCCTGTCATCTGCCCCCTCATACACCTGCACACGCGCTCCTCGCCGGCGGAGAGGAGAGCCGCCGCTGTCCCGGCCAGGGTTTCTGAGCAGGAGAGACCGGGAGAGCCGCCGTCCCGGGCCAGCCCCGAGCGAGCCCTGCGCCTGCACCCCTCCCCCACCAGCCTGCAGCGAGGGCGCTTCCTTCCGGCGGTACCGGGTCTCCGACGGCGACGATCATGACTCCGCAACAGAGTCAGGACCCGAAGTCCGGGCCTGACCCTCCCTGCAGCGGAGGATGGAGCGACTGCGACCTTTACCTCATCCTCCTCCGGCCTGGCCGCCGCCGGCTTTTCCGGCTCGCCCATCGCGCTGACTCCGCCAGAGCTACGGAAGCCCAGGGCCTGAGCGCGGCGAGTTAGCTCCGAGCCGGAGCGGAGAGCAGACACTAGCGGCGGCCCGTCGCTCCGCCCGGCGCGACCCTCCTCCGGCTCCGGGCCCGCCCAGCCGTGCGGCTCCCAGGTTCTCGCCGGCCCATTGAGGGGACTCCGGGCGGCTCCACCCACGTCCGCTTCTCCTCCGAGAGGCTCCTCCCCGAGAAGGCCCCGCCCCCTCCGAGAGGCCCCTCCCCCAGGCGGCCCCGCCTCCAAACGGACCCGCCCCACTCCGTCCTTAGCCCTCTCGCTTCCCGTCACCGAGCAGGACGAGCCCTACGTCCCACCGCGTCCATGACGTTGCACGGCCCCGCCCACTCCTGCGGACGTAAGCCGGAAGCTCCCGCCCCGCCTGCCGAGTATCAGCTGCAGTCCGCCTGACCTGCTCATCCGGACTACCTATCCACAGTCCCTCGCCAGCCACACGGTAGGGGACGCTCAAACGGGAGGTGACACTCATAGAGTAGGGGTGTCCTTTACCCCTTTACTTCCTGCTTCCCGGAAGCGGTACCAGGTCTACAAGAGCGTACAAGTACACGTGACTGGCCCTTTCACAAATTTCCTTCATTCTCAGATGCCTTCATCACCCCATGGCTCACATCTGTAAAATCAGCGTCATGAGGACAATGCAGGGATCTGCCACCGCCTCGAATAGTCAGTCCGTTCTAAACAGAACAGGGCACCTGGGCACAAACATCCACTATGGGGAAACGAGTTTCTGCAAACAGTTCCCTGGGTGGTCCTTTGAGGTTCTCTTCTCAATCCAAATAAAATCCTTGCAGAAAATTGACAAACAACAAACTCTTCATTTTAAAACTTCTGAAGTATAGTTCTGTTTAACAGACTTCGAATGGAGAGGAGGTCCGCACATCTGGAGGTGTAGACTAGAGCCACTTAAAATAGGCTATGTGCAGGGATAATGCGAACTTGGTGCAAGGCAATGGGAAAGCCAGGGCTCCGTAGCTGAGAGCAACAACTGCTCTAAATTCAATTCCTAGCACCCGCGTGGAGGCGGGCAATCTTCTCTAGTTCCAAGGGACCCAACACCCTCTTCTGGGCTCCATAGACCCATATGCATAGAATAAGAATAAATCTCGTTTTCTTTTTTAAAGACCATCTTTTCAAGATGCCTTCATTATTAAGTAGCTGTGGAAGATACTCAAATTTAAGTACATGAGTTTGAACCTTGAACCCACCTAAAGTCAGGAGAACCAACTCAACAGAGCTGGCCTCTGACCTCCACGTCTGTGGACTTTGGTTACCGAGCTTTTAGCGTCCTAGTGGGCATGCTGGGCCTTTAACTCAAGGTTTCACACATGCTAAGCATGTACTTATGTGAACTACACTCCCCGCTCCTGCACCATGTATCTTTTAAAATTAAACGTTCATCGCTGCCTGTTTTTCAAAGTATATAAAAAGTTTTTGTCAAATGGTTATGCTCAAGCAAATATTAACTGGCTCTGGAGCATACCAGACACACTAATGGCTAGGCCTTAGACCAGTTTCTACATTAAACAGCTCCTTGTGCTGCATTTCTCCATGTTTGTTGCTCTCCCCTCTCTAAGTTTTGCTACTTCTATACTTACCATGAAGCAGCAATCTGGTGACCAACTCCAAACCTTGCTTTCATTTGTTTTCTTGTTGTCTATGTTGAGGCAAATATTACGTGGGCCCATGTTACCCAATCCGTTTCTTAGTAGTTGAGGATTATTATTTTTTCTAATGAACAGTAACACAAATGTATTTATCCCCTAAATGTATTATGAATATGGTAACAGTGATATTTACATACACCTTCCACTTCTGTAGGCTAGTTGATTCCACAAGACAAAAAAACTTTGAAGTTGCTGGCTACCTAGAAGCATGAGGCATTGTAGTAATATTTCACTTCATTTATATTTTAATTAATAAAGCTTGCCTGAAGGTCAGAAAGTAAAACAGCCCTATTGATTTGCCATAGAAACCGGGTGGTAGTGGTGTCTGCTTTTGATCCCAAAACTAGAGAGAGCATTATAAAACAGGAGGAAACAGCTTTCACAGTCTCATTCTGAGATTCATGACGGCAGGATTGCCACTTTGGACAGAGGTAGAGGTAAGAGCCAGAGCGGCTGGCTGTTTTGCTTTTCTGACCTTCAGGTTGAACCCGTTTCTGTCTCTGGGCTTTTATTAATTGTGCTACAGGGCACTTAGTTTAAAAAGATCCTACAGGCTAATGTGTGATTTATAAACTTCACCGAATCATTCCCATGCCACAAGCTTGCCACAGTTTAACATTAATAGTCAAGTTTCACTTTTTTGCACCAGACATTTCAAATATAAGAACCCTTTTTTTTCTCCTGGAGAAATTCTACTTGCATCAAAATACAACTAACCCATTGATTGGATGTTACACTTGTCAAAGAGGTTCATGAAATCTTTATCCATGCTATGTTTTATTATTATTATTTGTGAACGTCACCATACATGCACAGGTAGAGGTCAGAGGACAACTTGCAGTTGGCTCTCTCCTTCTACCTTGTGGGTGGGTTCGGGAGATCAAATGCAAGCCACCAGGCTAGGCAGCAAGTGCCTTTACCCACTGAGCCATCTTTTTGAGTTTGTGGTCCCTATGAATTTTAAAGATAGAACTTAGGACAATAAAATCAGTTTTTCATTATATGCTTTTCATTTTAAGACATTAAGATTTAAAAGACACATAACATTGCTAGCTCTAGAGCATCCCCACATCTTTAAAGTTCTAGATACCATTGGGGAAAGTAACTGAAGAATAAGTCTCCTGTTTTTAAATCTTTAGCAAGTTTATGAGTCAGCATTTTCAGAACAGCATTGTGAGAACATCAGGATGGCCACATGGTCTAAGGCTCCAGACTGAATGGAATGCACCCTAGAACTTTGCCAGCACGCTTCACTATCCTAGAACTCAGTTGCATGATCGTCCCCTTCCACAAAATACTACTGCAGGCCAATGTTCAGAATGCAAACTCGCAGTGCCTGTGATGAAACCTAAGAGATGGACAGTCTTCACTAAATCAATTCCGAGGAAGTAACAAGACAAACATCGAAAGTGCTTAGCACACAGTTAGTACTTATTAAAAGTACTGAAGAGGAAGGTAATGCAGTCAGCAGTCTGATGTGTCTGAACTGTAAGCAAGATAAGAGACTTAAGTCCTGTGGTAACTGAACGGTCAACACTACCCAGGCAGTCCACTAAAGGCACATCCATCCAACCGCGATCAAGCGAGAGCCATGATTAAACAACAGTTGTACTTTTTGCATAGAACTTAAGAACTTTGTAGTGGATTTATGTCCATAAGTGAAACAGGATGCTCTCTGGAATTCTCTATTATGAAGATGACCGGCTTCCACCGTATATCAGAAAAGGGACTGGAGACACACAGTGCCCAGGCATCTGCATTAACAAACCACAAGAAAACCTTTGCCATACAAAAGCAAAAGTATTTCCTCTGGGAAGATGTCAGTTTTTAGCTTGAGCCTGGCAGTTGTCATGGCATTCATCAAAATAACCCTGTCTTTACAGTGGAGAAGCTATCCTCTCTCAAGCCAATACGCAGCCATCGTGATATCCACACTTTAGGGGAAAGTGGGAAGTAGCAAAGCTCCAAACACCAGTCAAGTTTATTCCTGGTCTTCCTGAACTGTCTCCAGTTCTGTTTCACTTAATCGCTAAACAAGACCAAAAGAGAACCTTATTTTTATGACTTTATTTTATATTTAGAACCATTTTATGCTTAACTTTAAAAAAAAGAAAAAGAGAAAAGACTCACTCCGCTTTTATTATTACTAAGAGCATTTTAACCAAAATCTTGATTTAGGAAGACCTCAGACATTCTGCATTATTTTTAATAATGCATTATTTTAAATATGTTTATTCTTTCAATAACTATTAAAAATAAGTTTACAATTAGGGTTGCAAGTGTCCTAGTCTAATTTGTTCATTTACTACTGACCAAGCCTGTGCGTGCACACAGGACTGACATTGATGTTTTATACCTTTCAAATGCTTGTTAGCTCTTAATAGTATTTAGATATAACAATCAATGTCTCACTTTGGCTAATTTACACACATCATACAGCATGGTGTTGTATAAGTTTTAAGTAACCTTCACTACTATGATTCAATTTCAAATATTTTAGTGTTAGAAGGGCTGAGAATGCCATGTGCTTCAAGTCTTTAAAAGAAGTTCCCTTTCTTTAAACATGACAATTATCGAAGGCCAGAAGTCCTAGAGGAATTGAGAAGATAGGTGAGAGATGACAGAACTTCTCTCATTTTTCATATTTAAAGTGACAACTTAAGTCCTAGGGGGACTTTCTTTTCCTTGTCATTCCACTGAATAAAACTGCTGAGTCCACAAAGAGTAAGGGCATTGTTCAAAAATCACATAGAGTCATTTAAAAAACAAAACAAAACCTGTCACTTAGTTTTCAGTTAGTTAACTCAAACTTTCTGTGTGAATTGATGGTTACACATCACTTCTGCTTATGAAAAGAAAAGGCCTGGCTGGGTGCCATTCATGATTCTCTGCTAACTGTAAAATGTGGACTGGTTTTCTTAGCTTTCTTATAGTCCATACATATGTATATAAACTTAAAAAAAAGTATGAATATAACCATGTCAGTGCATTGCCCTTAGCTTTAAAAATGTACAACTATATAAATAAAAACTGTTTCTTCAATATTACTTGACATTTCTTCTGTAATTTATTTAAAAAAGTAAAATGTAACAAGATATTTTAAAAAGGCTAGATACAAAAGTATTTAAGCTGCTCACGAACATTTAAAATTTTCCAAAATGTATTTTCAGTAATCATGATCTTATAAAGCATTTTACAGTTACCAGGAAGTGCCCAGCTGTGTACACATAACTGAATTCCCTTAGCACAAATGTCTGGCTAGGACTGAAGGGCGGGAACATGTCTAACTGCCTTGAAACAGGTACAAGGAAAGAGAAGGTGACTCTAGTAAGGACTGTGCATTGGCCCCACCATATGTACAGAAAACGTGCCCTCTCTCAACTCAACAAATTACATGCAAATATTAGTGGTATCGCTTAATATCCTGGAGCTCAATGCAGCGGAAATAAGCCGCAGTAAAAGTGGGTTTTATAGGTAAAAGTGATTTTTGTCTCTAAAATTTGGATGTCAAGAACTTTTTACAAGTTCCATATACATGATACACAATTGCAGCCAACCACAAATTAAACACCATAAAAAAGTTAAAAGAAAAACACAGAACATACTTAATTTTTTATTTTGAAATCCCCTATTCCCTCTATACAAGAGCCTTTGCAAACGCTTCGCACAAAGGCAGCATTGCATGTTCAGAACATCTTACATTTTTTCCCCTCACAAAAAAGATAAGTCACAGTGTAGATTATGTTGTTCTGCTGTCATCTTTGGCTGGGGTCGGACCTGGAAGTTGGCAACTAACAAACCATCATAGACAAAAGGTGCCAGTGCTTCTCAGGCCTTTAAGCTACAAACTCAGCAAGGAATGTTTGCATTTAATCTCTTTACGGTACCACCAGGGGTTATGACAGCATTAACTTCCATAAACTTTTATAGACAAATGGGAAAAAAAAATCTACAAAATTAGCTAGTAATATTACACAGCAATACACACTTTTTATACTCTACACAAAACCAAAATTCTTGGTCTTAATGGCGAGCAGTAACTTTTGTTTGAGAATCTGTTTAGAGGAATAGAGTGGGACATACAGTCGAGAAATACAGGTGTTTGCAGTAGGAAGATGCTGGTCATCTGGCGGCCTTATTGTGATTGAGGGCATAGGCTGAAAACCTTCTTCACTGGCTGGCAACGATGGGCTTGATGTCCAAAAGTAAACCTAAATAAGAACATATAGTTAAAATTTTGGCTTTTATAGTCAACCTTAATTCTGGCAATATAAACAACCCCCAACTCTGATGTTTAAAATAAAGTCTCACAAACATAACTGCCCACTCTGAGCTGACCAAGAACAATAGACATTCTAGTGTACCGGGTGGGAATGAGGGGGAAGGGAGAGAACTCCAGGAAGTTTCAACCATAAACAAATCACTACAGACAACAAAGTAACGCTGAGACCCGAGAGAAAGCACACTAACTGGTTACCCAGTACCAAATGGTCAGCCGTGAAAACACACATCTACATGACATTATACAGTCTGAGCAGGTTTTACTTACGTATTTAGCAACACGAACGAACACAAACACACACTGGGAGGAGGGGGAATCATGAATTTGAAAAAGAGCAAGGAGAGTTTGGAGGGAGGAAAGGGGGAAATGATATCTGAAAAAATAAAACTCAGTTTTAAAATTATTTTATTGTACTAAATCAATTCTACCTCAATAAACTACATGTTAAAAAATGTTCAGATTAAAGGAGAAAAAGGTGTTTGTTTGTTTTGACTTCAAAGTAACTGTCTCAAAGTCCAAGTTTTCTCATCTGACGCGAAGCTGCTGTATCAGTCATCCCCAAGAGCCAAAGCTGTGTCCACCCACTCATTTACGACGGGAGAAAGCGCTTCATGTTACATTTCTTCAAGAATGAATGAGCTGGGGCTGGAGAGGTGGCTCAGCAGGTAAGAGTACTAACCAGATGCTCTTCTAAAAGACCTAGGTTTGATTCCCAGCACCTAAACAATGACCTTAACTCTAGCCCCAGAGAGGAGCTGATGCTCCTCAGAAGACACTACATGCATATGGTGGACGGACATGCATGCATGTAAAATACTCATATACACTAAAGAGAAATTTAAAAAAAAAATAAAAAAAAAGGAACAACCAAAGGATCACTAAGAGAAATAGTGCCCGATTTCACAGAACTGTTATTGGTAAACTATGTTCTTCAGGAAGAAAATCACCACCCTACCTCCTAAAACACCAAAGCAAAACTCAACCAAACCCCTGTTTCACCCTACAAACTGTAGGATATTGCTTACAAGATCCTGTCGTTCAGCCATGCTCATTTTCTCCACTATGGACCAGAACCAACGCTTGAACTGCAGAAGCTTCTCAGCATTCTCTCCTAAGAATATAAAGAGTCAATGTATTGTATTAGATGTTGTTTCTTTTGAACACTGGTAAACTTCATACAAAAATAAAGAGACAAACTTTAAAATTTAAGATATCTGATACCTATCAGGAAATTAAAGCTATCTGCACATTTAAAAACCTTTGTAATTAAGTAATCCTGACTTGAGTAAAGTGAACTGTCATCACTCAAACCAATAGACCGTGATCTAAAACTCATCTGTAAACTTGAGTCTTCTCATGTGACAGTAAACCAGTGCTTCTAAAACTACTGGGTTTACAAGTCACATGAGATCTCTATAGAGGAGGACTCCCACCCACTCCATCCACAGGGAGAGGAAAGGACACCAGCATTCACTTCCTAAAACTTTCCCAGGATGCAATGCCGCTGAGCTGACAGTTTTTCTTTCCCTTCTATAGTTTTGGTTTTTAAATGAACCGAGTTCTAAGTACTTCCACTAAAATGTGCCACAAAACCCATTACACAACAACCTATAAATTACCAAGCACGAAGGGAATTTTAAAGGTTTCTGTAATGTGGGCTGCAGCGTACCTTTAACCGTAGCACTTGGAAGTATAGGTAAGTAGGATCTCTAAGCCCAAGTCTAGCCTGCCCTACACCAAGTGAGCTGCAGGAGTGTGGGGGTGCAGATCCTCCTGTGTATGTGTTGCTTTTATTGGTTAATGAATAAAGCTGTTTCAGCCAGTGCCGTATTGCAAATACTATAGTTTGTGTGTGATTATTTCGGTTCTGGGTGGCGAGGAACGAACAAGCAGCCTCCGACAACAGGAGTGCTACATAGACCCTGTCTCAATAAAACCAAAAATAGAAAAATAAGCTATGCAATTTGATGAAGGACAAAATAGAAAACAAAAGGACAACTGTATGTAGTAACTACAGTGCCGTTACAATCTTCGCAATCAAATATGTGCACGGATTTTGTTTTTTAGGCAGGTTCTCACTATGTATCTGAGGCTGGCCTCAAACTTCACATTCTCCTGCCCTGGCTTCCCATAAAGAACAACAACAACAAAATAACCTAATTCTAAGTTATCAAAATATTAATCTTCATCTAATCATACTTTTAATTGTAATAATAATGTGACATTCTACAGGGCTTGGGAATAGACTCTAACTCAGAACCTCAGAGGACACACCCAGCAAACGCTCCGGCCCAGCTCTTCACGGGGACTTGCCGTTTCCTACCTGACTCGTCGTTGAAAGAGGTGAAACTGATCAACATCTGCACATTGACTTCTCCACAGCCATTCACCAAAAGCCGAAAGTCTTCTGCTGTTAAATCTTCTAAGGAATTTTTTGGAAGCACATCCAATAGACCCTTCCTCATGGCCTAGAGAATTGGAAATTTTTTTCTTTTATTATAATCAGTACTTTGTTTTCCGTTTATATTTTTGTTTTCTGTTTATATTATTAAAGCTCAACATCAAATTATAGCAGCACTCTCTAAAAAAATGCTAGATCCCTAAATAAAGAGGAAAAAGGGGGCTTGATTTCGAGTTTCTTCTTAACAGATTCAAGAAAGAAGGGGAAGAATTGAGCACACAGAGCAGGCTACAGTTCAGAAGTTACCTAGTGTTTTATATTCCAGTAGAAAACTGAAATTGCTTTTTAAATCATATAAATAATGTACAGGCAGCACATTTTATAAGCAGCATTACTTCAATTTGGCAAAAGTGCATCCTAGAAAAGCATAGTAAAAGCCAACCTCCTAGACTCAAACCCAAAATCTAGACACTTACGGAAAAAGTGTCTTCCATTCATTAACTGTTCAATCTTATGCTCATTCTGCAGAAGGAAACTAGTGCACTAAAGATTAACCTGCTAATGTGCAGCCAGAAGGTAACGAGTGGAGCACTGACTTGAACTCAGTGTAATTCCCAGCACAAGAATAGCCACCACTCTTGAATTTATAGAAACTTTATCCTGGAGAGGGGCAGCATTACTAAGACAGGCCTGAACGTAGAGCTGGTTGCTATCTTGAGAATCTCACTTTTGGAACACTCCTCCATCGCTGTGCTTAGGGCGTTAGCCTAAACTATTCACTGTAACAATATGATAGTAGAAACATGCTTTCCTCTAAAATTTCAGCAGTCACGGATGGGCGTATAGCCAAGGATCCCTTTGGGACTAGCCACCAATAAAAACTCTGGGTTGTCACGAGATCTTAGGCTTCCCTAAATGTTGGCGAAGCTTGTACTTGTTAACCTCTGCTTAACAAGCCTCCTCTGTGGATGTTGCTGGGGTGAATCCTCCTAAGTTAGGTGGCGACAGGATGCCTTACAAGCCCTTAGCTGCTGCTGCTCACCAGAGCCATCTCTGACCATTACAGTTCCCAACAGCTATCTCCAAAAGAAAACAAGTGCTTGCCCTTTAGCTGGAGACTTCACACTTTTTTTGCATTCACACAAATGCAAATCCATTTTCCATTGGAGAACTTGGGCCTTTTATAGATGGATTACTGGGCTAATTCAGAACAATGGCAAACTAAAAACAGCTTCACACGACATAACCCTTTTCTAGAGAACACTTACGTGCAGTGGCTGCTCTGCGACTACCAACATTCTGTGCTCTGCATACTTCCTCACGTATTCGTAGACATTCTGAGGAGTGACTGGTATATTTACACCATTTGGAATGAGTTCAACCTATGAAAAATTCAGCAGTGACATTTAAAAACAATTCTGACAAACAACAACAGCTCGTGAGAGCTTTATTTTCTAAAATGTTAGAATTTAAAGATGAGTCTTTACCTGACAAATATCTGAGAGGCACAAACCTTGTCGGCCTAAGTAAGCACAAAATCGCTCTGCCTCAGTCTGTTTCGCCAATTCCCGACTCATTTCTCTGTTCCTCTCCTACAGTGCTTGTTCTGGGACGCATGCACACACCCTGTCTCAGAGTCTTTCTCCCTTGGTCCTCACCCAAATTGTTCTTTATAAAATGAGCCTAACAAATACCCCAGTTCTTTTGCAAAATCAGAAACTGGATTTGCTTTACCTGTCCTCCACCCTCTTCTTTACACAGGTCAATGGCAAATGCCAAATCCATTGCCGAGAACACAGCATCAGCATCTGAACTCTGAGACGCCAGGATCAGCTGCCGCAAACTCTCATACATTACCGGGTCAAAAAAAGCAAAGTCATGCCAGTTGACCTAAGGAAATAACCACACAAGAAATCTGAAAAGAAGCCTCTTTTCTTGACCCAATAGTAAATTACACTCTGTGATGACTCTGGGGGAAGGGAAGTGACAGAGATTGAACCCAGGACTGTGTGCGTGCTAAGTA